AACTTGGAACAAGTGTTTAAAAAAAATTAAAGGTCCAAAACAAAAAGTGAGAAAAAATATAAATAGGGGTGTATGTGTAAAAAGCAAATGTGTAGGGAACAAAAATGGAATACCAAATTACCAATGTATGGAGGTCCAACGTGTAAGTGTATAGGTTCAGAAAGTAAAACATCATAAACATAAAATAAACCAACAAGTGGGATCGTAAAACATGAGGTGGAGTGAGAAGTGAAGTATGTTTGGATGAATCTTTGTATATATAGTTTTGGTTTAGTGATTGTATAAAAAGTTTAATATATGATTACACTATATGTTTGTAACGAAACTTTTATCTTCCGTCTTGTTAATTATTCTATATTATTAATAATAATGTGATAGCTCCTCTATAGTATTTATACTATTTGAATGGGAAATTACAAGTGATGTTATGTTATAGGTGGTCATATTGTAAGATGGAAGATTATCCTTTCAGTTTGATGAATTTATAAGTAAATTCGAGTTTGATGTCAGATTTATGTTCTTTCATAAATTAAATATGCAAGGGAGATTATATGAATAATTTTACAATTGATGAAATATTTTCCACACGTGATGACTTAATTGAATGAGTTCGAGGGATTGCTTTTCATCTTGGGCTTGTTGTCATAACTATAAGATTTGATAAAGCTATTGGTGAACATGAGAGGAAAACATTTGTCTTGATAGGATGTGAAAGTGGTGGAAAGTACAGGAAATAAAAACCTGATGTTCAATAGAGTATATATGACAACAAAAAATGCGATTGTCCTTTTAAGTTAAGGTGCAAGCCAAATTCTAATGGAGAAGGGTGAATATTGAAGGTTATATGCAGATATCATAACCATGATTTGACACAAAGTTTAGTTGGTTACCCTTTTGCTGGGATATTAAATCCAACTGAAGAGTCATTGCTTATTAATATGACTAAGAGTCAAGTGAAACTTGCAAATACACTACTAACTCCGAAAGAAAATAATGATTGTAATGTCACAAAAATCAAACAAATATATAATGCAAGGTATACTTACAAATGATGGAAATGAGGCTGTTGTCACATTCACCAATCCGCAAAGTGTAAGACCCATGAAAAAAAAAATATATTTATAGTAGTAAAATTTAGCATTTTATTAGTAATAATAATTTTAATGGATAGAAAAATATAAATTTTGGATATAAAATTATAGTAATTTTATAAGGAGAGGTTAAAATTTTTGATAACTTATTTAGTATTTTTTTTAAGAAAATCGAATAGTAAAAAGTGAATAGTGAATAGTAAAAAGTGAATAGTAAAAAAAAAAAAATTCTTAGCATGAAAGAAATTAAGATTCCTTAGCATGGAAGAAATTAGAATTCCTTAGCATGCTCAATCAATTAGTTATGAAATACCATTAACTCTATGTGTAGGATCAGATTTAACCAAATGGATGATTAAAATATTATTTTTAAATAATATTAAAATAATAAATAATATTAAAAAATTAATGAATTGTAAATTTTTTTTACTTATAAATAGCCATGGGAGGGAAGGGTATTCTGCACCAAGAGAAGAGGAATCAAGTCAGAGCTTGAGAAATAGAGAAGAAAGAGTTAGGAAGAAATTTTTAGTTGTAGAAAGAGTAGAGGTTCTGAAGAGTTTTCGGGGAACAGCTTCTAGTAGGAAAATAATTCTGGAGAAGAGGTAAGGGGAGCTAACCTTTCTATGCTTTTATAATATGATTTAGTATTGTTTTTATTACTATTCATGTCTTGAAGTTCTGTGTGAATAGTGTTAATGTTTACTGTATATCTATCTATGTGGAATTTCGGTGTTAATATTATATGTTGCTGTTTTGAATCTGTAAATAAGAAATTTGTTAAAAACTAGTTGAGGAACACTTTGGCTAAGGAAAGACTTGGTACTTAAGTTGTCCATTGTGACGCACCTCTCTTTCCTGGAAGTCTACTCGACAAGTTTTTAACTTAAATCCTATTGAACAGATTATGTACTGTTAATTTATTTTGTGATATATTCAGTTTGTATGATTTCTAAAATGATTGAATTTTATTGCATTTGAATTATGCATCTGAACATGGTTGTGAAATATAATGATGTATGTGAGTATGAATTGGACATCTCAGGGGGAGATGACTGGAAGTGCTTGTGTGGGGTGTTGTTGTTGTTCTGTATAACTGTAGTGAACTTAGGATCGGTATGTCTATCCCTACACTCAAAGCATTGTTCATGCTCACATAGAGAAGAACAGTGTCAGTGGTGAGAGTAGAGGGAGGTCCTCGTCTATAGCCGTTGATGGCAAAGATAGGCAGGTTGGGGATTTACCTTGCTAGTGTTGGAGAAAGACCAGCAGAACTATGCAAGTGCACAAACTACTGTTAATTCGACAGTTATACAAATCCGATGAGTCGTGTGAGTGTGTGAGTTGTATGAGTATGCTTTAATTGTTCCTTTACATGTTTCTATGCATGATGACCTGAATTAACTGTACTATATGTATAACATGTTTTTTTTTATATTTAGCTCACCCTTGCATTGTTTGTGTTGTGTGCTGTTTGGGTATGTTTATTTGGCGATGATCATCCACTTGGATGGGAGCAGATGTTGTCGAGGAGATTACTTTGGAACAAGAGATGGAGGATTCCGAGGTTGCGGTGTAGTCTTATTAGGAATTTTCCTATTCGAACACTTGTAGTGTTCATCCCTTAAACTGTTTAAGTTTAAATTCTGTTTCTTTTAATTTTGGATGAATGTAATTTCAAAATTAATTACACGTCATACTCTGACTGTTCTCTTTATTTGGATGTTGACGTCCTTATTATATAAGTTGTTATATAATTGGGATGTTACACAAAGCGCAACTAAGAATTATCAATGGTTGCCATGTTAGCCTCTGAAACATTATTTAGTGACCGCGAGATCAGCTAGTCAAACCCAAACTTCCTTAACACGTGTTCAAGTAGATGTCGGTGAACAATCGTACCGATTCTGATCCAACCAAAAAACATAGTTATTAGCTCGATGTGACTGATATGGGAACCACATTACCCCATCATATGTTAGTCCATCCAAATGTGTCCTGACCTCAAGTAGGTTGGAAACTTGCCTCTCTATCGACACAAGGTCTATCTTCATCATAAGTTGACTGAAGATGCCTCTTTCCCATTCTAGAGAAGTGTTCATAAATTCAACTCTACAAAATAATTAATTAAATGTTGGTCAATAATGAAAAAATAAAAAAAATCGAAGCACAAGATATATGTGTACCTATAGAAGAGTCATATATTTAACTAATTGCTTTGTCTCAACAAAACTAACATCTCAAAGTCGTTCATACAAGTGGGTTGGTTCAACAACTCCCCAAATATATCCACCACATGTGTACAAGTCTTTGAAGAAAACCAAGTAGGATACAGAGATCAATGTGACGCTCTTATCCGTGAAAATGGTGCATCCATTTAGGTGCAACAAGTACGTCCGTCTCGCGCACTCCTATTATTCCTGCTCACAACATTTATTATAAATTTCTCTCAACTAGCTAAGCCTAACTTAGGGACCACATGCTTGTCTCATCTCAGTTATAGCCCTCGCGCGGTCCACGCTCAAAAGGTTGATGATAGTAGACCGAGCTTCTTCAAAGTCCAACGCTTCATTTGAACATAATTGTCCCACTATAGATATGTGTAGCAGTGCGGACACATCATCTAGTGTGACAGTCATTTCACCCACTGGGACATGGAAACTGTTTCCCCTTATGCCATCTCTCAACGAACACAAATATCAAACCTTTGTTGGTGTAATCGTAGGATATATCACATAAGGCCATGAAATCGGAATTCAACACAAAATGTTGAATTGTGACATGTCATGTTCCAAATTTATTTAATTTTTTTCCATCGGAGACCAACTTGATCTTCCATCGGTCCTACAAAACATAATTACATATAAAATTCATTCAAACAACTCATTAATTGTCAAAATTTGAGTATTGTACTAATCTAGCCCTACCATAATGCATATGCAACATGATTCACATAACTCGTCAAGAGTGATATATCATGTCAACCTCTTAGAAATTCACCCACTTCATTTGTTCTTGAACAAGATCCTCATACTGCTCATCAACATGATCTTACTACTAAATAACGTCGTCGTGCTCTTCAGAAGCATCAACATCATGTAATGCCCCCAACTTATTTAAGGAGACTCCTACTATAAGTTGATCCCATAAGCCATATGACTCTACCTGGATGGACCTAAGCTACCTTACTTGAGCCTGTTTAGACCTTTACTTTCAATTTAACCATAATGTGTCAATATCAATAGGTTAGTCGGATTCTTTTGAACCGAATACATGTCAGCTTAAGTGGTTAAGGGATACTCGAACAAACACTACTTACAGTGGCATGCCCAATGTGTGCTTACACATGTTCAATACACATATTGTACATCTTAGTTATCATCTTAGTTATCAACTTTGAATGTTAACTTCTTTATCTATCTTGAATTTTTTATGAACTTCCTCTCTTGACAAACTTTTAACAATTACTTTATTTTACTTGTTTACAAATTTGATCAAGTATAATTCTTTGTTTCTTTGCCAACTTTTTATTGCTTCTTCCACGTCGAAGTTGTGTTTGATGAGGTAACTTAGAAAAAAGAATTAAAATTCCGTACATTAATAAAGTGATTTGTTTGAATAAAGTAATTAAAAAATTAAAAAAAAATTATTTTTTGACACATATAGATATTTTACATTTATTTGATATTATTATTTATTTATTTATTATTCTCTTTTTTTCATGAAAAAAAAAATACAAAAATTTACAATTTTATCACTATTTACTTTTGTATTATGTGTGAAGTCACCATTTTACACTTTTCTTTGAATGTCATAATATTACTCAAATTAAAATTTAAGAAATTTTAGTGGATATTATATATATATATTTCCTTATATTATTGATTGAGAAATTCATTCCGAATTTTTGTAGTTGAAGTACAGAAACTAGAACTGTAGTGAGCGGCCTTATCCGCTGCTTGCTCGTGGGCACACATCAGAAGGATTAACATACAAAGAAGTTCTTCTTTCGCGATTCAAACTTTCATAGTCTCCACCTCACATAATGCTTTCAAATTCAATGTTAATTGCTTCTTCTCTGTTTTCACCATCACCTTCCCCCCTCATCGGTCCCCACAAGTTTTGTTCTTCCTTCAAAACCATCTTAAAACAAAGCCACGCATTTCTCCACAGAAACCCCCTTCTCCCCAACCACTTGAATTTGAGTTCCAAAAGGTCCCTTTCTTCGGTTTGCTTCTTCAACGCTGGAGAAAAGGCACTCTGCTCTCTTACCCTTTTTACTATTTATTCATTCTTATGAATTTGAGTTCACAAATTGTCGTGGGAATAGTTGTCTTATGCACTTTAAGTTCCGTGCATTTTGAGTAAATATGTTTGATTTTATATGGTACTTGTGATCGGCTGAGAAAACGAAGAATTAGAAGAGCGGTTTTTTTAAAGTGGGTATATGGTGATTGGGATTTTAGTGCATTCAATACCAATTTACTATCATAATATGATTCCCTTTGCATGTCTGAATTGAGTGTATTTGAGTGAAACTACGAGTTAGAGATCTTTATGTTGTTTGCTTTTGTATACAATGATATATGAAACAATTTAATTTCGTAAATTATTTATAAATATTTTTTGTTTTGCCAATCAATTAAAAATCTTTCTAAATATATTTTTTAATTAGTAATCTTGTCATGCATGACCATGTACTATTGATGATAGTATAAACAACAGTAATGTTATCGGTGCGTTCTAATCAAATTCTGTAATCTTTTGTCCGTTTTTCAGGAATCGGGATTGGAATGGCCTATTCTCAGGCGATGGGAGGTGCCTTGGGAATGGCAAACAGTTTCATTTACTTCTCTTGCTTGTGGATTAGGGTGTGTTTTGAGTAGCTGTTATGATTTCATATCGAACTTTAAATAATGCAAATCTTCGGAGAAGATAACATTTGGGGACTTCTTATCTTCACTGTCAATTGATTTATTATATGTTATAATTGATTTCTATGTTACTGTTTGTTGTATGCTGGGCTATTAATTTATTCCCAGGCAGTTTTGTGTTGACAGGTTTGACTGAAGCAGTTGCTCTCCCATATCCTGGGATCAAACCTGATGTGCTAAGTTTAGAAGACAAGGCAGAGATACTTTTGTTGGATCAGGGGTATGATACTCCTTTGGACTCTCTTACCTTCGTAATTTTTGAAGTTGGTTGGTAAATTGTGAAACTATTTCCACTTTTTTGTGAAGTGTTTTTTATTAGTCATTGACTTGCAAATAAGATGTGAAACCACATTTTTTATAGCATATATCACATGATGTTCATGGAAGTGATTGATACGCATTAGGTTTTTAGGTTGCCACCCATTTGCTCAAAACTTGCATACTTGTGAAATGTTTGAATACTTACTTTGTAATGTGTGCTTTTATTGAATTTTAGAGTAGAAGATTCTTAAAATATGAACTTTAAACATAATTCAATATCACAAAACCAGTTTGTAAAGTGAAGTTTGCACTCATCAATGTGTGATCTCCAATACACTCTCTCACAATTTGATACCATCTTAGAAAGTGGAATTTGTAACATTCCATTTTGGTAGAATAAAACTACCAAAATAAAACATTACATAAATGTTAACTTACTAGAAACTACATACTATCGATGAAGAAGATCTTATAGTTGGAGAAGAAAACTCTATCTATGTTGCTATTTCATTCTCAACCTCACACTGAACGACTGCAAAGACGTTCTCCCTAAGCTCACACCATTTATGGTGATCATCGCAAAAGAGAAAACACAAACAAACTAACAAAGACAAAAGCAAGGGTAAGCTAGTGATACAAAACATTTTCATAATAAATCAAAAATATATTAAACATTTTACTTAATGATACATATCTCACACTAAATCAACCAAACACTTTATGCATGACAACCTTTTGAGTTGACTATCCGGATTAGTATGAATATCGAGCTATGACAGTTCGTGCACTTGTTGTGGTGAAACAGCTGGCCCACCCCAAGCTACCACACAAGTGTTAGTCCGTTATCACTCGCCTTAGGCCAAGGTAAAGCCTCTAGATTAGGACCTCCTGCTATTCTCACCACATGCCTCACCCCTCTCTACTTGAGAATGGATGATCATTAGAATGTCAGGATGAACTCCAAGACTGATTATTCCATATTCATACTTATACTACTTAAAACCACCACTGAGAAGTTCCTCCTTGGAACTCTCTTCCATACCATACCTTTGAAACCATAGAGATCACTTCACATTCACATAGTATACCAATACATGAGACTACTGATCATACATTAAAGAAATAGAAACACCCATACAAGTCATCAGAAATCACACAATAATAGTTTTCTTCATAGCAACTTGATACTCACACTTAGACAAGGAAAACAACTTTGAAACCCTCACCAATAGCTCCGGAATGGACCAAAATCTCCAAAATGACCCAAAGAACGTCCAAAATTGATATCCAGAACCCTGAAAACTGATGCAGTGTCGCTTAGGGGTCGTCCAGTGGCGCTTGGGCGCCCAGGGGCTGGAGTGAGCGCCCTGGCCACTAAAAATAGGCGCTCAGTGCTCTGTTTGGGCGCTCAAGCGCTAACAGAACAAACAACACTTATTTTTCTGACTTTGCACACTTTACCCCTAACTTCTAAATACCCCTAAGACCCTCCAAACATTTAAAAACCTTAGAAAACATATCTCTAACTCAAAATGGTCATCCAAAACCCAATTTCACTTACCTAAGCTTCCCAAACTCAATTCTACCTTTTTCTAACTTCCATATCAGCAAACCAATCTTATGTATAAGTCATAATACACTAGATAGTTCACTCCAACATCCCAGTTTACTCCCAGACTTGTTGTTTCAAAATCTCACAATGCAAAACCTCATTTTTATCCAAAAACACCTAATAACTCCCTCTAACATGCCCATAACAAATTCTACATCAGATTTTCTTCATTTAACAGCCCAGATAAGTCATAATAGTCTTCCTAATCAACTCCCAATTGTCCAAAACAGTCCCCCACCTCTTACCTTCAATTCTCACTACTCAAAACCCCCTTTTTGCTACACTAAACACATCAAAACTTCTACTAGGAACTACCTTTTTCCATTACACATCAGATTTCAATCACCATATACATCCAACAAGTCCCAATTGACCTCATGACAATACCTTGACAGTAATTTCCTCATCCCAGTCCCCAATTTTCTCAAACTCACACATGAAAACCCCACTTTTAGACTTAAAACTGAAGAATTTAACCCTTTCACCTCACAACTACTTTGAATTCAGTTTCCAACACTAAAACATCATTATCACACCCAATCATAACAGTATCAAGCATCACAGTCACACTATACCAATTATACACAACATCATACTATTAAAATCATCAATTAGACATACATAGTATACACACAATCATACCAATTTCTCAAAATTGTCTATAACTTACAGAGATACCAAAATTTATAAGACAAACACAAACTAAGACAAGGTCTAGCTTCCCTTATCTCACAAGAAATTATAAAGCTCTACGAACGTCTCCTTGATTGCTTGAAACACAAGAAAAGTCTAAAAACACCTACAAAACATCAAATTGGAAGTGGACAGAGTCCTTAGAACATTAGTTAACCAAGAATGAGTAGAAGAAGCAAGATTACACATGCAACGACACTTGCTTCTTCCAAAAATAGATTAGGAACGAGAGAGGAAAAAGGAGTCGAAACTTACTTGCTCTGACAGAAATTGATCAGCTAGAAATGTAGACCTCGTCGTCGTGATCAATTAGACACCTTCTAATTGTCTAACAGATGATCAAGGAATTAGAATTTTTAGAAAGAAGACAGAGAACTCTAGGAAAGTGGTTTCTAGAAAGATGGTTAATGAAACTTGTTTATAACAAAACTACTTATAAATAAACCATTTAATATTGAAATAACCGAGTCTCACTATTTTTAAACTACCACCACTACTAAAATATCATTTTCTGGGGTTTTACAGAATTTAAGTTTATCTCAATCTCACAAAATCAAATTGTAAGATGAGGTTGTAAGATATGTGATCTCTAATAGATATTTAGAAAGGAAAGAGAGTGTTATGGTATAGTCTATGTAATATAGGCTCTTGATGAACTAGGGGGACATTTAGTAGCAGGTCAATTTTTTCCTACTTGGAAAGACCTTACTTGCGGTCCACCCTAGCCCTACCTTAGTTGTGACTTCTTTGGAGTTTCCTTAATTATAGCTCACGGGTGGTGGTTTAGTCCCGTACTGATAATATGCTTTAAACACAGATTATAAAGCTTGGTCAATCTTCATTTTGCAATTTAATTTTGTAGGGATGAATTAGGTTCTAAGCACAAATTTTATGATGTATCAAAGCCTATTCTAGATTTATTACTAATTACTTGCATTCACCACGCTCTAGCAACCTTGTGCATGAGTGAGAGTGTCGGGAGGATACCTTAATTTAGGTGACCCCTAACCTGCCTTAGTTGTGCCACTTCTTTGCATGTTGCCTTAGTTGCAACTAAAGAGTTGTTTAGTGTCACATCAACTAAAGATATAACTTAAATGGAGTATATAAAGTTTGGACAATTCCTACCTTGCAAATTGATTGTGTGGGTTTGACCTAGGTCTAAGCTAAAATTCTAGGAAATATTAATGGTGTGCAACTCAGTAGACATTGATACTCAAGGATACTAAATGCATTTTATCATATTATAAGTGAACATACTATTTCTTAATTGCATGAACTATTATTATTATTATTATTTCCTATAGCTTTAAACTTTAGTATAAGAGTCAACCAGATCAATCTATACACAATAAAAGTATGGAACACATTTTGGCCTTTCTACTGTCTATACCTGATATTTATTCCAATTTTTTTTCTGTTATTGAAGACAAAGTACATAAAGTTATCGATTACTATCTTATTTTCTCCTATTGTCTTGGCAGTATGACCACTGCTGTTGTACTTGGAATAATTTATAGTGTTGCCAACAGTTTCCAGCCACTTCCTGAAGACTTCTTCAAATACGGTATTATCATTTAAGAACATTTCAGTTATATCTGGAAATAGGCAAAAGGTTTTTAACGTGAGCAATTTTTGCACGGGGCTGAGAATAGTGCCTATAGCTACAACAACCAATCTAGAGCTCAAAATGATATTAATATAACTTCGGCGTGAATTTTAATACAAGCTGGATTATTATTTTAGTACATCTAGAGCAATTGACTGTCTGCAATCATAGACACTGTGCTCAAGCAAGAGTTATTCATCAATGTTTATATTAATGATTGGCATCGAACCTTAAGGCTTATTAAAGTATTATTAATTTAACGAGGTTCACTGCTACCAATACAAACCAGTTTGTGACTTGATGAGCTTGCTGTATTTCAGTTTTGTTGCATCATGTTGGTTTAAATCTCTTTTTAATCCATAGTTTAGTTTGCAATTGGCTTCTATTTAGAAGAATTAAAACATGTTAGGCACTAATGCTTTTCCAATTCAATGGTAAAAACATTGTTACAGATTTGAGGGAGCCTTTCAATCTTCAGAAGGGTTGGCTTTTATGGGCTGGAGTTGGACTTGTTGGTTCCATAATTGCCACTGCATTGACCGGAGTTGCTGTGTCTTCCTTCAGTGGAGAAACCCCACAAAGAGAGGTTTATACTCTATTTTTCAAATTTTACTGGCAGATGCAGATGTAATTATTGGTTTCTACTTGTTAAACTATTTTCTTTGTAGCATGGGAGGAGGCAATTTAGGGTCACTGATTTTCAAATGGCATTAGTATTGAAACACTGATGCTCTTGTTCGCTTGCTTCCGTTAATTGGATCTTCAAATCTCAAGTAATTTAACATATTCATAATCCGTTCCCTTATTTTAAATTGAAGTTTCAGTGTTATGCTTTGATTACAGAAATTGCAGACATTTGCAGTAAAATATGGCGTATACAGCCAAATTACAGTTACAGAGGTATCCAAAACCATAACATTGTGTTGACATTGCAGTCGTGGACTGTAATTTCAGATCATAGTCCCTCCTTCTGCTAATGAAGGGAATTTGTCAAAAGTTTCCATCTAGGTTCTGTGTCCTGGATTCTTAAGCCAGTGATTGATTGTGTTCATTTTCGTTGTAGTACTACGTGCTTAGTGGGCATCACAGGTGTTCTTGCTCCACTCCTTGAGGAGACTGTATTTCGAGGATTCTTTATGACTTCTCTGACCAAGTGGTATTGTTGCCTTCATACCCGTTGATTTGTTGTTTAAGTTTTTTGTTTTTCTTTTTGACTTTAGCATTCTTTTATTCCTGAGAAATAATAGAGAAGATTAGGAGAAATCTCCCTTATGTGTTTAGCATACACATAGGGTAGTTTATTTATAATGTAAGATAAGGGTTAAACCCTAAATACAGAATGGGCTAAGCCCAATTAACATAAACACACAACTTAACATTTAACACTCCCCCTCAAGCTGGAGCATATAAATCATATGTTCCAAGCTTGTTACAAAGATAGTCAATTCTAGGTCCTCGTAAGGACTTGGTGAATATGTCTGCCAACTGGTTGCTTGAGTTAACGAACTCAGTCTTGATATCTCC